CTACAAAGAGTAAGCATCCGCAAAGGCCTTTTACACTTGGTTAGTTCATTTAAAAGCAGGATTTTACTTCGCAGAACATCAGACAATTATAGATCACTTCGACGCATTAGTCTGTGTAGCAAAGATGTATGAGCCTCAACAAGACCAGGTTATAAATCCTGACCCATTAGCGATGCTTGCAAATTATATGCCATAGACAACCATCTAAAAACGTATCAGATGGATGAAAGCAATCCTCCAGAGCTTCGGAAAAAAGTCAAGAGATAAGATGGTTTAAACTATAGGGGCGATAATGAAAAGGGCTACTGACTTGCCCATGACCAATGTTAGGTTTGATCACGCAATGGTAGAACTACCCAAAGGAGTCACTAATATTTACCAATCATGCGTACAGGAAATAGACCAAACTCATTCATAGAATAAAAAATATGCAATATTTAGACATCCAAGAACCAGGCGGTCACAAAAGCCAGCCTACCTGACGACCAACGGGACTTTCCCCAGTTGCCGCCTGCTGCACACAACAGACCATGATCTCAATCAGGCTGCTTTCCTGACTGACATCAAGAGGTTCTTCGTTTTTCCCCGGTTCTTCAATAAGCAAGTCGATCATCGCTTCCCAATCACGTAACATGGGGGCAATTTCCCATAAACTATCTACTAAGTATGCCGCGTGCTCATGCAACTGCATTTGGAGGAAATACCCATGTAAGCACATATGACCAGACTTCAAACATACTAAGCAAACCGAAAGTACATACTTCGCTCTCGATAAAGAACTGTACAAGATCCCGGATTAAAGGAGTGTTCTCACTGCGCTTCTTGCCCTTCTTTGTTCGGGTAATTGGAGCGTTAGCATCAACTTCAAAGAGCTTTAAGGTCAGGAATTCACCTGCGGCCTGGGCAAGCGGCCGGTGTGTGCAGTAGACAAGTTCATAAATGTTTTCGCAATCCTTATCCTCAAGCTTAGACTCAGTATGTCTGGAAAGAAAAAGCACGTCTTCATGTTGACTGGAGCAAGTCGACATTTGGTCAACAAAATCCTCTTGTGAATTAAAAAAAAACAGACAGAAAGTACGTGCCAAAGTTTTACTTTAACAAAAGCATACGACACTAAATCGCTAGCCACATCTCGCGAAAATTTCAGCTTTAGTGTCATTGAGATGTTCATACCGTGCCTCTGACGTAATTCTTAAAACGAAAGCGCTCAATTAATGTTTCCAGAAAAATGAAACACTTTAAAATGTTTGCAGTGCGCAAAGTTTGAGGAAGCAAAAAAAACCTATCGCGGAAATCCATTGAATTCAGACGCACTTGAGAATGCAAGAGACCACTTTGACAGCCTGGACCGCAACGTCTAATTCCTTATCCAGGGTCATATCAACAAGTCTCTGTTTAAAACGTGAAGTGAAAAGAGACAAATTCGAGACAAAAGTGGAATCGTCGTAGAGAGGCTGAAGAGCACGAAGACACTGCAGTCGAACTTCACCAACTCGATCATAGAGTGTCCAGCCGATGTATTTTAGGTAGCTGTCATCCAGAAACATGGCAGGGTAACGTCGCATCCAGACACCAATCTCAGCTATACAGATGGCTCGGATCTCCGGTTGACTATCGCGGTATCGATGGATAAAAATTCCCTTGAAGAGCAGAATGAGCATGTCCTTCACCTCCTTCATGTTTTCCTCCAACTCCTGACGGCGCGACATTAACACGTCAAGACGATCATTTCCGGCGCCGGAACGCCTGCTACTTGAGGCCCCGCTGCCGCCGCCACGAGCTCGCTCGCCCTCGTATTGCCGCTGAGTGTTGTCACGATTGATACTCACATTCAAGGCTACATCTACTAGAGCTGTCATCATCTTCATGGCGGCAAGGGTACTCGTGTGACGGAAAGCACGAACCTAATGAGAATGGTATAGGGCTGATAAACTGGGTAATTTTCGATTAAGATTTGTGGAATGCTTCAAGGGCACTTGAACAAGAAAAAATAGCTACTCCCCAGTGGTAATTATTCAGTAGACTAATGAAAGGGGAAAACAATTGGCTTTTGATGAGCCGCTCAGGCTTACCCATGTCTTTGTTAATCAAGCATTTATAAACAAAAAATTGTCAAAGCCATATGAAAAATGCAAGTTTGAACACCGATTCAACCAGCACTCACGGGAGAATCCGAAAGGCCAGTAAGAAGGGAGACAATCTGGTCCACCATGCACTGGTCATAAATGATACTGTACTGACACTGACGAATCAAAACCTGGATAAATTCCACAAAATTGGAGCGGAACCGGCGCCATGTGGGGCTCGACTGGACAAGAGGATATTCTCCAGAATCTTCATCAAACTCCTCCGTCATGCGCTTAATAATATCGGCGTGGGGTAGAGTGTTGTACATATCCAAAGAAACCTTCCCCTTGCATCCCGAGCATGAGATGAAAAACTGAACCAACTCGAGCATGGCCGGTGCCCGACCTGTCTTGTACTGCTCTATCCAATCATCAACCAGAGTTTGGGGGGAGGCACGACCAGAGCGGATGGCCCCGAACAAGGTGTGTTCTTCATCTTCTAGGGGCACGCCTCTACCAACGTCTAAAGGCAAAGCAAAAAGTTCTCGAGTACACAGTGAAGCCAAGAGAGCGACCGACGAACAAACATTAATTAACACTCGAAGCTCTTAATAGGATAAGGATTACCGTTATCGTTAGAAGGGAAAATAGCCGGCCGGCCGCGCTTCCTTTTGGTGGGTTGAGAACCTGTCGTTGAGTTGGGATCCTTGGGACCATTGACGTTTTCGGTTGCATTGGAAAACTGTGGTTGTTGTGAGGCAGAAGGAGTAGAATTGTATTTTTCCGAAATCGGCACAGCCCCATAATACGGATTCAATTCCATATCCTCGCGATTTTGAGGAGAACGACTTTGTGCAAATGGAGGATAGTAGTGATGGGAAGTATGAAAGTTGGAGTGAGTATTCTCCTGTTGATTAAATATTCCAACAGGAATATCAGCGACGGGTTGGGCGTGATGCCCTTGCAACGAATTCATACTACGCTGTTCAAAATCTTAAAAGAGTGACAGGAAGGTGATGTTGAGTTACCTGCTGCATTTATGGGTCGTTGCAGTGCCTGCTCCTGGGAGTTTTGACCAATATAATGCTGACCAGTAGAAGTTGAATGAGATGGCTGTTGAGGATACTGACTCATCATCTAAGACGAATCAAAGTATTAGAGAAGAGGTGCAAGTCCGACCGAATGTAACAACTTTACGAGTGAATAAAGGAGACAACTGCTAGTTGAAGTGAATATAATCCAACATATGTAATCGCAGATAGAATATGCAAAACAAAACACGATTAATAAGCATGTACAGCAAATCAGCAATGCCAGGCACTAGAAACTAAGTTGCTTAACATATTGCCGACCCCAAAGCAACACTATGTGTAGCACTAACGACGAGACAATGTGGTTAACGAAAGATCATATAACCTCATGTGAGGTCCGGGAACTAGCCACACAAGAGATGTCTGTTAAAAAAAATTGACACAAAAATACACAGAATTACCACTTGAAGATCTACGTCCAAGGACGCTGCCATATTAATAAATTTTGATAACACAATATTGTGGTTCATTAAAACAAATCACAATTAATTTCAATTAAACTGGAGCTTTATATCAAATCTCTATGGTTTGTTTGAAACGCTTTATCAATATTGTTAGGTATGTATGTGGAAAGACGGCAAAGGCAGAAAAGAACATCAACTATGAATGAACATCAATTATTGAGTTCAAAAGTAACTGTAAATATTCGAACTCAAGGGACATAAGCTGCCCTATCTTAAAAGATTTTTACGAACTGAGAGTTGTTTAAAGCTTGTAATACATGTGCTCTAAGAGAGGACGAAGGGATGGGGTCTTGTCTTGGCCCCAAGTCCCTGTCAGCCGTGCAACGTCAGGCGGTTATGCGTACGAGGCATCATAGGTTTAGTAATAAGACACGCCATTTCAGACACTCCAAGAGCTTGTTTAGGGTATAGAAACCAATGCGCAAACTGCATGCATGAAACAAGAGGAAAATTAACATTAACACATTAAAATAAGCAAAGAATTAACCCATCCGAAGGCAAATCTGACGAATACCTTTCGCTTTACAAAGTACAGCACTGTCCCGCTTTAAACTTTATGACTTGGGAATGCTGTGTAGAACCTGTCTGACTACCCTCATGCCCTCGAATCTCCGAATTTATGAGAATGCTAGTTGCAGTAGCTTTATTAGGCATCGTTTACAGAAAGAGTGGGAATAGAGAGCATAGATGAGCTGCATAGCAGATTTCACCTAAAGAGGGAATCCTTACCGCCCTCAAGCAGAGGAATCGCGTCCGAATTGACTTCCCGTCTCTCCCCTATAAATGTAAACTTAAATACTACAGTATAGTATAGTATATATTACACAGTCCCCTCTCTTTCAAAAACCATCCTCGGTGCTGGTCAGTAGAGTTCCGTCAGGTGGCTTCCTCTCCCCTGCCAACGCATAGACTTCGTCTTGTAATCTACTGGGTGCAGAACCGTATAAGGTCTAATCTTGTTATGATGTACTGTAGAGGCTGAGTGCCAATCTCCGCATTCCAGATTAAATAGTGCATAGGTGACATGACCTTGATTACTCGGTAGGGTTCCTTGTTCCATGGGTGGTAGAACTTCCGATGGGTTCCTGGTGGGGGGATTGGTCCATACAATTGCACCAAATCTCTCTCACTAAAGACGTTTTTTT